CTAAACACTCACCTACTCACCTAAACACTCACCTATACACTCACCTATACACTCACCTACTCACTCACCTATACACTCACCTACTCACTCACCTAAACACTCACCTACACACTCACCTACTCACCTATACACTCACCTATACACTCACCTACTCACTCACCTACTCACTCACCTACTCACCTACACATTCACCTACTCACTCACCTACACATTCACCTACTCACTCACCTACTCACCTATACACTCACCTATACACTCACCTAAACACTCACCTACTCACCTACACACTCACCTATACACTCACCTACTCACCTACTCACTCACCTAAACACTCACCTATACACTCACCTACTCACCTAAACACTCACCTATACACTCACCTATACACTCACCTACTCACCTAAACACTCACCTATACACTCACCTACTCACCTACTCACTCACCTATACACTCACCTACTCACTCACCTACTCACCTAAACACTCACCTACACACTCACCTACTCACCTATACACTCACCTATACACTCACCTACTCACTCACCTACTCACTCACCTACTCACCTACACACTCACCTACTCACTCACCTACACACTCATCTACTCACCTATACACTCACCTATACACTCACCTACTCACCTACACACTCACCTATACACTCACCTACTCACTCACCTACTCACTCACCTACTCACCTAAACACTCACCTACTCACCTACACACTCACCTACTCACCTATACACTCACCTACTCACTTACCTACTCACTCACCTACTCATCTACACACTCACCTATACACTCACCTACACACTCACCTACACACTCACCTACACACTCACCTATACACTCACCTATACACTCACCTACTCACCTACACACTCACCTATACACTCACCTACTCACTCACCTACTCACTCACCTATTCACCTAAACACTCACCTACTCACCTACACACTCACCTACTCACCTATACACTCACCTACTCACTCACCTACTCACTCACCTACTCACCTACACACTCACCTATACACTCACCTATACACTCACCTATACACTCACCTATACACTCACCTACTCACCTACACACTCACCTACTCACCTATACACTCACCTACTCACCTACTCACTCACCTACTCACTCACCTACTCACCTATACACTCACCTACACACTCACCTATACACTCACCTATACACTCACCTATACACTCACCTATACACTCACCTACTCACCTACACACTCACCTACTCACCTATACACTCACCTACTCACCTACTCACCTACTCACTCACCTACTCACCTACTCACCTATACACTCACCTACTCACCTAAACACTCACCTACTCACTCACCTCACCTAAACACTCACCTACTCATCTATACACTCACCTATACACTCACCTATACACTCACCTATACACTCACCTATACACTCACCTATACACTCACCTACTCACTCACCTATACACTCACCTACTCACTCACCTATACACTCACCTACTCACTCACATACTCACCTAAACACTCACCTACTCACCTACACACTCACCTACTCACCTACCTACTCACCTATACACTCACCTACTCACCTACACACTCACCTATACACTCACCTACACACTCACCTACTCACTCACCTACTCACCTACACACTCACCTACACACTCACCTACACACTCACCTACTCACCTACACACTCACCTACTCACCTATACACTCACCTATACACTCACCTACTCACTCACCTACTCACTCACCTACTCACCTACACACTCACCTACTCACTCACCTACACACTCACCTACTCACCTATACACTCACCTATACACTCACCTACTCACCTACCAACTCACCTATACACTCACCTACTCACTCACCTACTCACTCACCTACTCACCTAAACACTCACCTACTCACCTACACACTCACCTACTCACCTATACACTCACCTACTCACTCACCTACTCACTCACCTACTCATCTACACACTCACCTATACACTCACCTACACACTCACCTACACACTCACCTACACACTCACCTATACACTCACCTATACACTCACCTACTCACCTACACACTCACCTATACACTCACCTACTCACTCACCTACTCACTCACCTACTCACCTAAACACTCACCTACTCACCTACACACTCACCTACTCACCTATACACTCACCTACTCACTCACCTACTCACTCACCTACTCACCTACACACTCACCTATACACTCACCTATACACTCACCTATACACTCACCTATACACTCACCTACTCACCTACACACTCACCTACTCACCTATACACTCACCTACTCACTCACCTACTCACTCACCTACTCACCTATACACTCACCTACACACTCACCTATACACTCACCTATACACTCACCTACTCACCTACACACTCACCTACTCACCTATACACTCACCTACTCACCTACTCACCTACTCACTCACCTACTCACCTATACACTCACCTACTCACCTAAACACTCACCTACTCACTCACCTCACCTAAACACTCACCTACTCACCTAAACACTCACCTATACACTCACCTATACACTCACCTACTCACTCACCTATACACTCACCTACTCACTCACCTAAACACTCACCTACACACTCACCTACTCACCTATACACTCACCTATACACTCACCTACTCACTCACCTACTCACTCACCTACTCACCTACACATTCACCTACTCACTCACCTACACATTCACCTACTCACTCACCTACTCACCTATACACTCACCTATACACTCACCTAAACACTCACCTACTCACCTACACACTCACCTATACACTCACCTACTCACCTACTCACTCACCTAAACACTCACCTATACACTCACCTACTCACCTAAACACTCACCTATACACTCACCTATACACTCACCTACTCACCTAAACACTCACCTATACACTCACCTACTCACCTACTCACTCACCTATACACTCACCTACTCACTCACCTACTCACCTAAACACTCACCTACACACTCACCTACTCACCTATACACTCACCTATACACTCACCTACTCACTCACCTACTCACTCACCTACTCACCTACACACTCACCTACTCACTCACCTACACACTCATCTACTCACCTATACACTCACCTATACACTCACCTACTCACCTACACACTCACCTATACACTCACCTACTCACTCACCTACTCACTCACCTACTCACCTAAACACTCACCTACTCACCTACACACTCACCTACTCACCTATACACTCACCTACTCACTTACCTACTCACTCACCTACTCATCTACACACTCACCTATACACTCACCTACACACTCACCTACACACTCACCTACACACTCACCTATACACTCACCTATACACTCACCTACTCACCTACACACTCACCTATACACTCACCTACTCACTCACCTACTCACTCACCTATTCACCTAAACACTCACCTACTCACCTACACACTCACCTACTCACCTATACACTCACCTACTCACTCACCTACTCACTCACCTACTCACCTACACACTCACCTATACACTCACCTATACACTCACCTATACACTCACCTACTCACCTACACACTCACCTACTCACCTATACACTCACCTACTCACCTACTCACTCACCTACTCACTCACCTACTCACCTATACACTCACCTACACACTCACCTATACACTCACCTATACACTCACCTATACACTCACCTATACACTCACCTACTCACCTACACACTCACCTACTCACCTATACACTCACCTACTCACCTACTCACCTACTCACTCACCTACTCACCTATACACTCACCTACTCACCTAAACACTCACCTACTCACTCACCTCACCTAAACACTCACCTACTCATCTATACACTCACCTATACACTCACCTATACACTCACCTATACACTCACCTATACACTCACCTATACACTCACCTATACACTCACCTACTCACTCACCTATACACTCACCTACTCACTCACCTATACACTCACCTACTCACTCACATACTCACCTAAACACTCACCTACTCACCTACACACTCACCTACTCACCTACCTACTCACCTATACACTCACCTACTCACCTACACACTCACCTATACACTCACCTACACACTCACCTACTCACTCACCTACTCACCTACACACTCACCTACACACTCACCTACACACTCACCTACTCACCTACACACTCACCTACTCACCTACACACTCACCTACTCACCTACACACTCACCTGCTCACTCACCTACTCAATTACACACTCACCTACTCACCTACACACTCACCTACTCACCTACACACTCACCTATACACTCACCTACTCACCTACACACTCACTTACTCACTCACCTACACACTCACCTACACACTCACCTACACACTCACCTACACACTCACCTACTCACCTACACACTCAACTACACACTCACCTACTCACCTACACACTCACCTACTCACCTACACACTCACCTACTCACTCACCCACCCACCCACTCACCCACCCCCCACTCTCTCACCCACTCACCCACCCTCTCACCCAACCATTCACCCACTCACTCACCCACCCACCTACTCATCCACCCACCCCCCACTCACCCCCCCCACTCACCCACTCATCCACCCACCCACCCACTCATCAACCCACCCACTCATCCACCCACACACTCACCCACCCACTCACCCACTCACTCACTCACCCTCACACCCACTCACTCACCCACCCACTCACTCACCAACTCACTCACCCACTCACCCACCCACTCACCCACTCACTCACCCACTCACTCACTCACCCAGTCACTCACTCACCCACCCACCCACTCACTCACTCACCCACTCACGCTCCCACTCACTTTCCCACTCACTCACTCACCCACCCACTCACTCACCCACTCACTCACCCACCCACCCACTCACTCACCCACCCACTCACCCACTCACCCACCCACTCACCCCCCCACTCACCCCCCCACTCACCCCCAGGTGCTGGAGGAGCTGGAGGAGAATGGCATCAGGATTTATCAGCTGCCTGATGCTGAATCCGATGAGGATGAAGATTTCAAAGAGCAGACGAGGATCCTGAAGGTTTGCAGCATCATCAGCAGCATCATCAGCAGTATCATCATCAGCAGCATCATCAGTATCATCAGCAGCAGCAGCAGCGTTAACAGTATTATCATCAGCAGTATCATCATCAGCATCATCAGTATCATCATCAGCATCATCAGTATCATCAGCAGCATCAGCAGCAGCATCGTTAACAGTATCATCATCATCAGCAACATCAGCAGTAACATCATAATCATCAACAACAGTAGCATCAGCTAAAGCATCATCATCAGAAGCATCATAATTAATGATTGTCGTTATTGTGGTTGTTGCTGTGGTATAGTAGTGGTGGTTGTGGTGGTTGTGGTTGTGTTACCAGTGGCTGTGGTGGTTGTGGTGGTTGTGTTACCAGTGGCTGTGGTGGTTGTGGTGGTTGTGGTGGTGTTTGTGGTTGGGTTGGTTGTGGTGGCTGTGGTGGTTGTGGTGGTGGTGGTTGTGTTACCAGTGGCTGTGGTGGTTGTGGTGGTTGTGGTGGTTGTGGTGGCTGTGTTACCAGTGGCAGTGGTGGTTGTGGTAGTTGTGGTGGTTGTGTTACCAGTGGCTGTGGTGGCTGTGGTGGTTGTGGTGGTTGTGGTGGTGGTTGTGGTGGTGGTTGTGGTGGTGGCTGTGTTGTTTGTGGTGATGGTTGTGGTGGTTGTGTTACCAGTGGTTGTAGTGGTTGTGGTGGTGGTTGTGGTGGTTGTGTTACCAGTGGCTGTGGTGGTGGTTGTGGTGGTTGTGTTACCAGTGGTTGTGGTGGTTGTGTTACCAGTGGTTGTGGTGGTTGTGTTACCAGTGGCTGTGGTGGTGGTTGTGTTGGTTGTGGTGGTTGTGTTACCAGTGGCTGTGGTGGTTGTGGTGATGTTTGTGGTGTTTGTGGTGGTGGTTGTGGTGGTTGTGTTACCAGTGGTTGTGGTGGTTGTGTTACCAGTGGTTGTGGTGGTTGTGTTACCAGTGGCTGTGGTGGTGGTTGTGTTGGTTGTGGTGGTTGTGTTACCAGTGGCTGTGGTGGTTGTGGTGATGTTTGGTGTTTGTGGTGGTGGTTGTGGTGGTTGTGTTACCAGTGGTTGTGTTACCAGTGGTTGTGGTGGTTGTGTTACCAGTGGCTGTGGTTGTGGTGGTTGTTGTGGTGATAGTTGTGGTGATGGTTGTGTTACCAGTGGCTGTGGTGGTTGTGGTGGTGTTTGTGGTGGTTGTGTTACCAGTGGCTGTGGTGGTGGTTGTGGTGGTTGTGTTACCAGTGGTTGTGGTGGTTGTGTTATCAGTGGTGGTGGTTGTGGTGGTGGTGGTTGTGTTACCAGTGTTTGTGGTGGTTGTTGTGGTGGTTGTGTTACCAGTGGTTGTGGTGGTCGTGGTGTTTGTGGTGGTTGTGTTACCAGTGGTGGTTGTTGTGGTGGTTGTGTTACCAGTGGTTGTGGTTGTTGTGGTGTTTGTGGTGGTTGTGTTACCAGTGGTGGTTGTGTTACCAGTGGTTGTGGTTGTTGTTGTGGTGATGGTGGTGGTTGTGGTGGTGGTGGGGATGGTTGTGGTGGTTGTGGTGGTGGTGGTTGTGGTGGTTGTGGTGGTGGTGGTTGTGGTGGTTGTGGTTGTGGTGGTTGTGGTGGTGGTGGTTGTGGTGGTGGTGGTTGTGGTGGTTGTGGTGGTGGTTGTGGTGGTTGTGTTACCAGTGGTTGTGGTGGTTGTTGTGGTGATGGTGGTGGTGGTGGTTGTGGTTGTGGCTGTCCAGGCCAGCGTGCCCTTCTCAGTCGTGGGCTCTAATCAGCTGATCGAGGTTCGGGGCCGGCGAGTTCGAGGCCGTCTCTACCCCTGGGGGGTCGTGGAAGTGGAACACCCAGAGCACAACGACTTCCTGAAGCTCCGCACTATGCTGATGTAACACAATATCCTATATACAATCCTATATACACAATCCTATACACACACACCCAGAGCACAACGACTTCCTGAAGCTCCGCACCATGCTGATGTAACACACAATCCTATACACAATCCTATATACACAATCCTATATACACAATCCTATATACACACACCCAGAGCACAACGACTTCCTGAAGCTCCGCACCATGCTGATGTAACACACGATCCTATATACAATCCTATATACACAATCCTATATACACACAATCCTATATACACAATCCTATATACACACACACAGAGCACAACGACTTCCTGAAGCTCCGCACCATGCTGATGTAACACACGATCCTATATACAATCCTATATATACACAATCTTATATACACAATCCTATACACACACCCAGAGCACAACGACTTCCTGAAGCTCCGCACCATGCTGATGTAACACACGATCCTATATACACAATCCTATATACACAATCCTATACACACACAATCCTATATACACAATCCTATATACACACACCCAGAGCACAACGACTTCCTGAAGCTCCGCACCATGCTGATGTAACACAATATCCTATATACACAATCCTATATACACAATCCTATATACACACAATCCTATATACACACACCCAGAGCACAACGACTTCCTGAAGCTCCGCACCATGCTGATGTAACACACGATCCTATATACACAATCCTATATACACAATCCTATATACACACACCCAGAGCACAACGACTTCCTGAAGCTCCGCACCATGCTGATGTAACACAATATCCTATATACACAATCCTATATACACAATCCTATACACACACAGAGCACAACGACTTCCTGAAGCTCCGCACCATGCTGATGTAACACAATATCCTATACACAATCCTATATACACAATCCTATATACACAATCCTATACACACACCCAGAGCACAACGACTTCCTGAAGCTCCGCACCATGCTGATGTAACACAATATCCTATATACAATCCTATATACACAGTCCTATATACACAATCCTATATACACACACCCAGAGCACAACGACTTCCTGAAGCTCCGCACCATGCTGATGTAACACACGATCCTATATACAATCCTATATACACACAATCCTATATACACACAATCCTATATACACACAATCCTATATACACACAATCCTATATACACACAATCCTATATACACACAATCCTATATACACACACCCAGAGCACAACGACTTCCTGAAGCTCCGCACCATGCTGATGTAACACACGATCCTATATACAATCATATATACACAATATCCTATATACAATCCTATACACACAATCCTATATACACACACCCAGAGCACAACGACTTCCTGAAGCTCCGCACCATGCTGATGTAACACACGATCCTATATACACAATCCTATATACACACAATCCTATATACACACAATCCTATATACACAATCCTATACACACACAATCCTATATACACACAATCCTATATACACACACCCAGAGCACAACGACTTCCTGAAGCTCCGCACCATGCTGATGTAACAATATCCTATATACAATCCTATATACACAATCCTATATACACAATCCTATATACACAATCCTATATACACAATCCTATATACACACACCCAGAGCACAACGACTTCCTGAAGCTCCGCACCATGCTGATGTAACACTATCCTATACACGATCCTATATACAATCCTATATACAATCCTATATACACAATCCTATATACACACACAGAGCACAACGACTTCCTGAAGCTCCGCACCATGCTGATGTAACACAATATCCTATATACAATCCTATATACACAATCCTATATACACAATCCTATATACACAATCCTATATACACAATCCTATATACAATCCTATATACACAATCCTATACACACACACAGAGCACAACGACTTCCTGAAGCTCCGCACCATGCTGATGTAACACACGATCCTATATACAATCCTATATACACAATCCTATATACACAATCCTATATACACACAAGATCCTATATACATACGATCCTATATACACACAAGATCCTATATACACACAATATCCTATATACACACAAGATCCTATATACACACAATCCTATACACACGATCCTATATACACACAAGATCCTATATACACACAATCCTATATACGCACAATCCTATATATACACAATCCTATACACACACCCAGAGCACAACGACTTCCTGAAGCTCCGCACCATGCTGATGTAACAATATCCTATATACAATCCTATATACACAATCCTATATACACACAATCCTATATACACACAAGATCCTATATACACAATATCCTATATACACAATATCCTATATACACACAAGATCCTATATACACACAAGATCCTATATACACACAAGATCCTATATACATACAATCCTATATACACAATCCTATATACACACAGGATCCTATATACACACAAGATCCTATATACACACAAGATCCTATATATACACACAAAATCCTATATACACAATCCTATATACACACAAGATCCTATATACACAATCCTATACACACAAGATCCTATATACACAATCCTGTACACACAGATCCTATATACACACAAGATCCTATACACACAAGATCCTATATACACACAAGATCCTATATACACAAGATCCTATATGCACACAATCCTATGTACACACAAGATCCTATATACACACAATATTCTATATACACACAAGATCCTATATACACACAAGATCCTATATACACAATATCCTATATATACACAAGATCCTATATATACACACAAAATCCTATATACACAATCCTATATACACACAAGATCCTATATACACAATCATATACACACAAGATCCTATATACACAATCCTGTACACACAGATCCTATATACACACAAGATCCTATATACACACAAGATCCTATATACACAAGATCCTATATACACACAAGATCCTATATACACAATATCCTATATACACACAAGATCCTATATACACCCAAGATCCTATATACACCCAAGATCCTATATATACACACAAAATCCTATATACACAATCCTATATACACACAAGATCCTATATACACAATTCTATACACACAAGATCCTATATACACAATCCTATATACACACAAGATCCTATATTCACAATCCTATACACACAAGATCCTATACACACACAAGATCCTATACACACACAAGATCTTATATACACACAAGATCCTATATACACGCAATATCCTATATACACAAGATCCTATATGCACACAAGATCCTATATACACAATATCCTATACACACAAGATCCTATATACACCCAAGATCCTATACACACACGATCCTATAAACAAGATCCTATACACAAACGCGATCCTATAAACCCGCGATCCTATAAACCCCGAAGAGGCTACCTGGGGGACCTTTGTCTGTGTGCAGAACTCACATGCAAGACCTGCAGGAGGTCACTCAGGACCTGCACTATGAAAACTTCCGCTCCACTCGCCTGAAACATGCCAGCAGGTACCTGGGGTACTCACCTGGGGTACTCACCTGGGGTACTCACCTGGGGTACTCACCTGGTCACTCACCTTGTCACTCACCTGGGGTACTCACCTGGGGTACTCACCTGGGGTACTCACCTAGTCACTCACCTGGGGTACTCACTGGTCACTCACCTGGGGTACTCACCTGGGGTTCTCCCCTGGTCACTCACCTGGTCACTCACCTGGGGTACTCACCTAGTCACTCACCTGGGGTACTCACCTGGGGTACTCACTGGTCACTCACCTGGTCACTCACCTGGGGTACTCACCTGGGGTACTCACCTGGGGTACTCACCTGGGGTACTCACCTAGTCACTCACCTGGGGTACTCACCTGGGGTACTCACCTGGTCACTCACCTGGGGTACTCACCTGGTCACTCACCTGGTCACTCACCTGGTCACTCACCTGGTCACTCACCTGGGGTACTCACCTGGTCACTCACCTGGGGTACTCACCTGGTCACTCACCTGGTCACTCACCTGGGGTACTCACTGGTCACTCACCTGGTCACTCACCTGGTCACTCACCTGGGGTACTCACCTGGTCACTCACCTGGGGTACTCACCTGGGGTACTCACCTGGGGTACTCACCTGGGGTACTCACTGGTCACTCACCTGGTCACTCACCTGGGGTACTCACCTGGGGTACTCACCTGGTCACTCACCTGGGGTACTCACCTGGGTCACTCACCTGGGTCACTCACCTGGGGTACTCACCTGGGGTACTCACCTGGGGTACTCACCTGGTCACTCACCTGGTCACTCACCTGGGGTACTCACCTGGTCACTCACCTGGTCACTCACCTGGTCACTCACCTGGGGTACTCACCTGGTCACTCACCTGGTCACTCACCTGGTCACTCACCTGGTCACTCACCTGGGGTACTCACCTGGTCACTCACCTGGGGTACTCACCTGGTCACTCACCTGGTCACTCACCTGGGGTACTCACTGGTCACTCACCTGGTCACTCACCTGGTCACTCACCTGGTCACTCACCTGGGGTACTCACCTGGGGTCACTCACCTGGTCACTCACCTGGTCACTCACCTGGTCACTCACCTGGGGTACTCACCTGGTCACTCACCTAGTCACTCACCTGGGTCACTCACCTGGTCACTCACCTGGTCACTCACCTGGGGTACTCACCTGGTCACTCACCTGGTCACTCACCTGGGGTACTCACCTGGTCACTCACCTGGTCACTCACCTGGTCACTCACCTGGGGTACTCACCTGGGGTACTCACCTGGTCACTCACCTGGGGTACTCACCTGGGTCACTCACCTGGTCACTCACCTGGTCACTCACCTGGGGTACTCACTGGTCACTCACCTGGTCACTCACCTGCTCACTCACCTGGTCACTCACCTGGTCACTCACCAGGTCACTCACCTGGTCACTCACCTGGTCACTCACCTGGTCACTCACCTGGGGTACTCACCTGGTCACTCACCTGGTCACTCACCTGGTCACTCACCTGGTCACTCACCTGGTCACTCACCAGGTCACTCACCTGGTCACTCACCTGGTCACTCACCTGGTCACTCACCTGGGGTACTCACCTGGTCACTCACCTGGGGCACTCACCTGGTCACTCACCTGGTCACTCACCTGGGGTACTCACCTGGTCACTCACCTGGGGTACTCACCTGGTCACTCACCTGGTCACTCACCTGGTCACTCACCTGGGGTACTCACCTGATCACTCACCTGGTCACTCACCTGGTCACTCACCTGGGTCACTCACCTGGTCACTCACCTGGGGTACTCACCTGGTCACTCACCTGGTCACTCACCTGGGGTACTCACCTGGTCACTCACCTGGGGTCCTCACCTGGTCACTCACCTGGTCACTCACCTGGTCACTCACCTGGTCACTCACCTGGGGTACTCACCTGGTCACTCACCTGGTCACTCACCTGGTCACTCACCTGGTCACTCACCTGGTCACTCACCTGGGGTACTCACCTGGTCACTCACCTGGTCACTCACCTGGGGTACTCACCTGGGTCACTCACCTGGTCACTCACCTGGGTACTCACCAGGTCACTCACCTGGTCACTCACCTGGTCACTCACCTGGTCACTCACCTGGGGTACTCACCTGGTCACTCACCAGGTCACTCACCTGGTCACTCACCTGGTCACTCACCTGGTCACTCACCTGGTCACTCACCTGGGGTACTCACCTGGTCACTCACCTGGGGTACTCACCTGGTCACTCACCTGGTCACTCACCTGGTCACTCACCTGGGGTACTCACCTGGGGTACTCACCTGGTCACTCACCTGGTCACTCACCTGGTCACTCACCTGGGTCACTCACCTGGTCACTCACCTGGTCACTCACCTGGTCACTCACCTGGGGGTACTCACCTGGTCACTCACCTGGGGTACTCACCTGGTCACTCACCCTGGTCACTCACCTGGTCACTCACCTGGGGTACTCACCTGGTCACTCACCTGGGGTACTCACCTGGTCACTCACCTGGTCACTCACCTGGTCACTCACCTGGTCACTCACCTGGGGTACTCACCTGGTCACTCACCTGGTCACTCACCTCGTCACTCACCTGGTCACTCACCTGGGGTACTCACCTGGGGTACTCACCTGGTCACTCACCTGGTCACTCACCTGGTCACTCACCTTGTCACTCACCTGGTCACTCACCTGGGGTACTCACCTGGTCACTCACCTGGGGTACTCACCTGGGGTACTCACCTGGTCACTCACCTGGTCACTCACCTGGTCACTCACCTGGTCACTCACCGGGGGTCTCACCTGGTCACTCACCTGGTCACTCACCTGGTCACTCACCTGGGGTACTCACCTGGTCACTCACCTGGTCACTCACCTGGTCACTCACCTGGGGTACTCACCTGGTCACTCACCTGGTCACTCACCTGGGGTACTCACCTGGTCACTCACCTGGGGTACTCACCTGGTCACATCACCGGGGTACTCACCTGGGGTACTCACCTGGTCACTCACCTGGGTCACTCACCTGGTCACTCACCTGGGGTACTCACCTGGTCACTCACCTGGTCACTCACCTGGTCACTCACCAGGTCACTCACCTGGTCACTCACCTGGTCACTCACCTGGTCACTCACCTGCTCACTCACCTGGTCACTCACCTGGTCACTCACCTGGTCACTCACCTGGGGTACTCACCTGGTCACTCACCTGGTCACTCACCAGGTCACTCACCTGGGGTACTCACCTGGTCACTCACCTGGGGTACTCACCTGGTCACTCACCTGGGGCACTCACCTGGTCACTCACCTGGGTCACTCACCAGGTCACTCATCTGGTCACTCACCTGGTCACTCACCTGGTCACTCACCTTGGGTACTCACCTGGTCACTCACCTGGTCACTCACCTGGTCACTCACCTGGTCACTCACCTGGTCACTCACCTGGGGTACTCACTGGTCACTCACCTGGGGTACTCACCTGGTCACTCACCTGGGGTACTCACCTGGTCACTCACCTTGTCACTCACCTGGTCACTCACCTGGTCACTCACCTGGGGTACTCACCTGGTCACTCACCTGGGGTACTCACCTGGTCACTCACCTGGTCACTCACCTGGGGTACTCACCTGGTCACTCACCTGGTCACTCACCTCGTCACTCACCTCGTCACTCACCTGGGGTACTCACCTGGTCACTCACCTGGTCACTCACCTGGGGTACTCACCTGGTCACTCACCTGGTCACTCACCTCGTCACTCACCTGGTCACTCACCTGGTCACTCACCTGGTCACTCACCTGGTCACTCACCTGGGGTACTCACCTGGTCACTCACCTGGTCACTCACCTGGTCACTCACCTGGGGTACTCACCTGGTCACTCACCTGGTCACTCACCTGGTCACTCACCTGGTCACTCACCTTGTCACTCACCTGGGGTCACTCACCTTGTCACTCACCTGGTCACTCACCTGGTCACTCACCTGGGTCACTCACCTGGTCACTCACCTGGTCACTCACCTGGGGTACTCACCTGGTCACTCACCTGGTAACTCACCTTGTCACTCACCTGGGGTACTCACCTGGTCACTCACCAGGGGTACTCACCTGGTCACTCACCTGGTCACTCACCTGGGGTACTCACCTGGTCACTCACCTGGTCACTCACCTGGTCACTCACCTGGTCACTCACCTGGTGTCACTCACCTGGTCACTCACCTGGTCACTCACCTGGGTCACTCACCTGGTCACTCACCTGGTCACTCACCTAGTCACTCACCTGGTCACTCACCTCGTCACTCACCTGGTCACTCACCTAGTCACTCACCTGGTCACTCACCTGGTCACTCACCTGGTCACTCACCAGGTCACTCACCTGGTCACTCACCTGGTCACTCACCTGGTCACTCACCTGGTCACTCACCTGGGGTACTCACCAGGTCACTCACCTGGGTCACTCACCTGGGTCACTCACCTGGTCACTCACCTGGTCACTCACCAGGTCACTCACCTGGGGTACTCACCTGGTCACTCACCTGGTCACTCACCTGGGGTACTCACCAGGTCACTCACCTCGTCACTCACCTGGTCACTCACCTGGTCACTCACCTGGTCACTCACCAGGTCACTCACCTGGTCACTCACCTGGGGTACTCACCTGGTCACTCACCTGGTCACTCACCTGGGTACTCACCTGGTCACTCACCTGGTCACTCACCTGGGGTACTCACCTGGTCACTCACCTGGGTCACTCACCTGGGTCACTCACCTGGGGTACTCACCTGGGGTACTCACCTGGTCACTCACCTGGTCACTCACCTGGTCACTCACCTGGGGTACTCACCTGGTCACTCACCTGGTCACTCACCTGGTCACTCACCTGGGGTACTCACCTGGTCACTCACCTGGGGTACTCACCTGGTCACTCACCTCGTCACTCACCTGGGTCACTCACCTGGGGTACTCACCTGGTCACTCACCTGGGGTACTCACCTGGTCACTCACCTGGGGTACTCACCTGGTCACTCACCTGGGGTACTCACCTGGTCACTCACCTGGTCACTCACCTGGTCACTCACCTGGGGTACTCACCTGGTCACTCACCTGGTCACTCACCTGGTCACTCACCTGGTCACTCACCTGGGTCACTCACCTGGTCACTCACCTGGGTCACTCACCTGGTCACTCACCTGGGTCACTCACCTGGTCACTCACCTGGGGTACTCACCTGGTCACTCACCTGGGGTACTCACCTGGTCACTCACCTGGGGTACTCACCTGGTCACTCACCTGGGGTACTCACCTGGTCACTCACCTGGTCACTCACCTGGTCACTCACCTGGGGTACTCACCTGGTCACTCACCTGGTCACTCACCTGGTCACTCACCTGGTCACTCACCTGGTCACTCACCTGGTCACTCACCTGGTCACTCACCTGGGGTACTCACCTGGGGTACTCTGCTATTGCTGCTACTGGTGACCTCTGGATGAACTTTGACCTCGCCTGTGACCTTCCACTCCCCCACCCCCCTCTCTCCCCCACCCTCTCCCCCCTCCCTTCTCCCCACCCCTCTCCCCCCTCCCCCCTCCCCCCTCTCCCCTCCCCCCACCCCCCACTCCCCTCCCCCCACCCCCCTCCCCCCTCCCCCCACCCCTCTCCCCCCACCCCCCACCCCTCACCCCCCCCCTGAACAACCCCAGGGGAGGGGGCCAGGAGGTGGGGGATGACGAGGAGAGGGACAAAATCCTGCGGGAGAAGGAGGCCGAGGTGAGTCCACCACCTTTAGTCCACCACCACCTGTAGTCCACCACCACCTATAGTCCACCTATAGTACACCACCACCTATAGTCCACCACTTATAGTCCACCTATAGTCTACCTATAGTCCACCACCACCTGTAGTCCACCTATAGTCTACCTATAGTACGCCACCTGTAGTCCACCACTAGTCCACCACCTGTAGTCCACCACCACCTATAGTCCACCTATAGTACACCTCTAGTCTACCACTAGTCCACCACCTGTAGTCTACCTCCTATAGTCCACCTCCTCCTATAGTCTACCTATAGTACACCACTAGTCCACCACTAGTCCACCACCTGTAGTCCACCTCTTCCTATAGTCCACCTTTAGTACACCACCTCCTATAGTCTACCTATAGTCCACCACTAGTCCACCACCTGTAGTCCACCTCCTCCTATAGTCCACCTATAGTACACCACCTCCTATAGTCTACCTATAGTCTACCTATAGTACACCTATAGTACACCACTAGTCCACCACTAGTCCACCACCTATAGTCCACCACCTATAGTCCACCTATAGTCCACCTGTAGTCCACCTCCTCCTATAGTCCACCTATAGTACACCACCTCCTATAGTCTACCTATAGTCTACCTATAGTCCACCACTAGTCCACCACCTATAGTCTACCTATAGTCTACTTATAGTCCACCTCATATAGTCCACCACCTGTAGTCCACCTTTAGTCCACCACCTGTAGTCCACCTGTAGTCTACCTCCTGTAGTCCACCTCCTATAGTCCACCTCCTATAGTCCTATATCAGTGTGTGTGTGTCAGTGTGTGTGTGTCAGTGTGTGTGTCAGTGTGTGTGTGTGTCAGTGTGTGTGTCAGTGTGTGTGTGTGTCAGTGTGTGTGTCAGTGTGTGTCAGTGTGTGTGTCAGTGTGTGTGGTGTAGTGTGTCAGTGTGTGTGTCAGTGTGTGTGTCAGTGTGTGTCTGTGTGTCAGTGTGTGTGTGTGTCAGTGTGTGTGTGTGTCAGTGTATGTCTGTGTTTGTGTCAGTGTGTGTGTGTGTGTGTGTCAGTGTGTGTGTCAGTGTGTGTGTGTCAGTGTGTGTCTGTGTGTGTGTCAGTGTGTGTGTGTCAGTGTGTGTGTCAGTGTGTGTGTCAGTGTGTGTCAGTGTGTCAGTGTGTGTGTGTCAGTGTGTGTGAGTGTGTCAGTGTGTGTCAGTGTGTCAGTGTGTGTGTGTCAGTGTGTGTGTGTCAGTGTGTGTGTGTCAGCGTGTGTGTGTCAGCGTGTGTGTCAGTGTGTGTCAGTGTGTCAGTGTGTGTGTGTCAGTGTGTGTGTGTGTGGTGTAGTGTAGTGTTTGTCAGTGTGTGTGTGTTAGTGTCTGTGTGTGTCAGTGTGTGTGTAGTGTAGTGTGTCTGTGTGTGTATCAGTGGCTGTGTGTGTCAGTGTGTGTGTGTGTGGTGTAGTGTGTCTGTGTGTGTATCAGTGTCTGTGTGTGTCAGTGTGTGTAGTCTAGTGTGTGTCAGTGTGTGTGTATCAGTGTCTGTGTGTGTCAGTGTGTGTGTATCAGTGTCTGTGTGTGTCAGTGTGTGTGTCAGTGTGTGGTGTAGTCTAGTGTGTGTCAGTGTGTGTGTGTCAGTGTCTGTGTGTGTCAGTGTGTGTGTATCAGTGTCTGTGTGTGTCAGTGTGTGTGTCAGTGTGTGGTGTAGTCTAGTGTGTGTCAGTGTGTGTGTCAGTGTCTGTGTGTGTCAGTGTGTGTGTCAGTGTGTGGTGTAGTCTAGTGTGTGTCAGTGTGTGTGTATCAGTGTCTGTGTGTGTCAGTGTGTGTGTGTCAGTGTCTGTGTGTGTCAGTGTGTGTGTCAGTGTCTGTGTGTGTCAGTGTGTGTGTCAGTGTGTGGTGTAGTCTAGTGTGTGTCAGTGTCTGTGTGTGTCAGTGTGTGTGTGTATCAGTGTGTGTGGTGTAGTGTAGTGTGTGTCAGTGTCTGTGTGTGTCAGTGTGTGTGTCAGTGTGTGTGGTGTAGTGTAGTGTGTGTCAGTGTCTGTGTGTATCAGTGTGTGTGTGGTGTAGTGTAGTGTGTGTCAGTGTGTGTGTGTCAGTGTCTGTGTGTGTCAGTGTGTGTGGTGTAGTGTGTATCAGTGTCTGTGTGTGTCAGTGTCTGTGTGTGTCAGTGTGTGTGTGGTGTAGTGTAGTTTAGTGTGTCTGTGTGTGTGTCAGTGTCTGTGTGTGTCAGTGTGTGTGTGTGGTGTAGTTTAGTGTGTCTGTGTGTGTGTCAGTGTGTGTGTGTGTCAGTGGCTAAAGCACAGCAGGTTGGCACAGTAGGGGGCACAGGTGGTGCATCAGCCAGCCATCTCAGTCATCTCAGTCATCTCAGTCAGTCGACCCGTGGCACCTGCTGGGTCTGCCCCGTGACCTCCTGCCAGCGGGCGTTCGACACTTCACGTGGCCTCAGGGTGCACATAGCCTGGCACAAGCGTCGTGGTGACGTCACCGCCACTTAGTGGCGAATGGCGGTTGTTGTTGTGTGTCAGTGTCTGTGTGTGTCAGTGTGTGTGTGTGTGGTGTAGTGTAGTGTGTATGTGGAGTAGGAGAGGCTGCCACTCCTCTGTCAGGAGCTGGACCGGTACCCCCAGGACCTCTACAGAGAGTCTGCTAGACTTGTTCTGGTGTCTGTGTATGTGGAGTAGGAGAGGCTGCCACTCCTCTGTCAGGAGCAGGACCGGTACCACCAGAACCTCTACAGGGAGTCAGCTAGACTGGACCTGGTGTCTGTGTGTGTATCAGGAGAGGCTGCCACTCCTCTGTCAGGAGCTGGACCGGTACCACCAGGACCTCTACAGAAAGTCCGCTAGACTGGTGTCTGTGTCTGTGTACGTGGAGGAGAGGCTGCCACTCCTCTGTCAGGAGCTGGACCGGTACCACTGAGGCCTCTACAGAAAGTCCGCTAGACTGGACCTGGTGTCTGTGTGTGTATCAGGAGAGGCTGCCACTCCTCTGTCAGGAGCAGGACCAGTACCACTGATACCTCTACAGAGAGTCTGCTAGACTGGACCTGGTGTCTGTGTGGGTATCAGGAGAGGCTGCCACTCCTCTGTCAGGAGCTGGACCGGTACCACTGAGGCCTCTACAGAAAGTCCGCTAGACTGGACCTGGTGTCTGTGTGTATGTGGAGTAGGAGAGGCTGCCACTCCTCTGTCAGGAGCTGGACCGGTACCACCAGAACCTCTACAGAGAGTCTGCTAGACTGGACCTGGTGTATGTGGAGTAGGAGAGGCTGCCACTCCTCTGTCAGGAGCAGGACCGGTACCACTGAGACCTCTACAGAGAGTCTTCTAGACTGGACCTGGTGTCTGTGTGTGTATCAGGAGAGGCTGCCACTCCTCTGTCAGGAGCTAGACCGGTACCACCAGGACCTCTACAGAAAGTCCGCTAGACTGGACCTGGTGTCTGTGTGTGTATCAGGAGAGGCTGCCACTCCTCTGTCAGGAGCTGGACCGGTACCACCGGGACCTCTACAGAAAGTCCGCTGGACTGGTTCCGGTGTCTGTGTGTGTGCGCGTTTATTCGTGCGTCCTGCGGTTATCCGGTCCCTGGGCCTCCCCTAGGTCGACTCGGCCTCAAATGAGTAACCTGCTGTTTTTGCCGTGGTGTCTCGCAAGCATCCCCACTGGGGGAGACAAAGACGGCCGGGCGTGCTGGTGCTTACCACAGCACCCCCTCGCTTACTAGCTAAAGCACTTGTCCCCCAAACACGCCGTGAGAGGCTACCCGGGGGACCTTTGTCTGTGTCCTGTTGCCCGCTGTGAACAGCACTTGTCCCCCAAACATGCCGTGAGAGGCTACCTGGGGGAACTTTGTCTGTGTGTCAGCTGAAACGAATGCAGGAAATGATCACGAAGATGCAGATCCAGATGCAGATGCAGGGCCACCAGGGGGAGTGAGACATCACTCACTCACTCGCTCACTCAGTCACTCGCTCAGTCACTCGCTCACCACACACTCACTCGCTCACTCAGTCACTCGCTCACTCAGTCACTCGCTCACTCAGTCACTCGCTCACTCAGTCACTCGCTCACTCAGTCACTCGCTCACTCAGTCACTCGCTCACTCAGTCACTCACTCACCACTCACCACTCACTCGCTCACTCGCTCAACACTCACCACTCACTCAACACTCACCACTCACTCACTCAACACTCACCACTCACTCAGTCACTCACTCACCACTCATTCGCTCACTCGCTCAACACTCACTCGCTCACTCACTCACTCAACACTCACCACACACTCAGTCACTCACTCACCCACTCACTCGCTCGCTCAGTCACTCGCTCAGTCACTCACTCAACACTCACCACTCACTCATCACTCACTCAGTCACTCGCTCAACACTCACCACTCTCTCACCACTCACTCACCACTCACTCACCACTCACTCAGTCACTCACTCAACACTCACCATTCGCTCACCACTCACTCACCACTCACTCACCACTCACTCACCACTCACACACTCACCACTCACTCACCAGTGGGTGTGCACTCACTCGCACACTCACTGACCATTCACTCAGCAGTGGTGAGTGAACACACACACACGTGTGTGTGTGTGTACACACACACACACGTGTACACGCACACACGTGTGTACACACACACACACGTGCGTACACACGTGTGTGTGTGTGTGTGTACACACACACACGCACACACACACAAACGTGTGCACACGCACACGTGTTCACACGCACACACACACGTGTACACACGCACACACACACGTGTGTACACGCACACACACACGTACGTACACACACACGTGTACACACGCACAAAGACCAAAGATCCCCAGTAGCGTCCTTCACGAGCCTCCTCCACAGAGGCCGATCTTGACACCGCTGGTACCGGTCATCGGCAAGTCCACTCAGCTCCACGTCCTCCTGTACCACATCACTCCATCTCTTCTCTAGCCCGTGCCACTCATTCGCCCACTCACCAAATCACCCACACTCACCCACCCACACAGTCACCCACCCAATCACCCACCCACCCAATCACCCACACACTCACCCACCCAATCACCCACACACACACCCACCCATCCATTCACCCACCCATCCATTCACCCACCCGCTCAACCAATAGTCCATCTCTTCTCCAACCCGGGCCATGCCCTGGTTAGCCCTTTTTCTCCTGCCAAACAGCCTCTGTTTACATGACCCAGCCAGCGCAGCCTTGCCTGCCCTGCCGGAGGAGCTCGCCGATGGGGCTGTCCAGATCTTTCAAGGATTTGTGAGCTCACCCAATCCAGCCTGCAGGATGAACCCAGGATGGATCGTAGGCAGGCCAAGGGTCCACGTTTCACAAGCGTGGAGAAGGGAGGGAATGACCGTGGCCGAGAAGACCTGAAGCTTAGTGCGGAGCGACAGACCAGGTAGCTTCCACCACAGCGTTACGCAGCCGATGAAAATACCGCTGGTCCGTCACTACGTAGTCCAGCAGATGTTCTTGCTTGGACCCGGCATGCATCCGTGATGTGTGGATGCGCCGATGCCGGAACAGCGTGTTGGTAATTACAAGCCCATGGGCTGCACAAAAATCTAGCAGCCTCCTACCGTTGTTATTGAGCTGATCCGGCCCATGCCCTCCAATCACTCCAGACCAGGTGCCAGCATCGTGACCAACTCGGGCATTGAAGTCACCCAACAAGATGACTCTATCCCGAGGGGCCGCTTTAGCCAGCACCTGTGACGGGAGGTCATAGAAGGCATCTGACTCATCGGCCTTGCCCGCATCCCTCCACCACGGATGTTCATCTTCGGTGGGGGCATAAGTAACCACGACCACCATTCCTCGCCTCTTCCGTTGATCGTGAGGAGAGCCCAAAGTAGCCTGGGGCTTGCAGCTTCCCACACCTCGCCGCCACGCTCCCGCACACCGGAAGAAGAGCCACTCCCTGTTGTTTAGCGGTCTCCTGCCCCCCCCCCCCCCGGAGTGGAGGACTTGTCCGCCCATCGTGATGACCGTAGCCAGAGGTCGGTCCACCGGACCCTCCTGAAATACCGCAGGGATCCAGGCGGTACCGGTCCAGCTCCCGACAGAGGAGTGGGCAGCCTCTCCACCGGCAGCTTGAACGTCCCACGTGGGCCAATCGCGGCGCGTCCCCTGCTCCCGGAGAGGGGACCCTGAGGAGCGGGAGGGAGGGGAGGAGGAGGAGGAGGAGGAGTTTGATTCTCCTGGCTCCGCCAGACGGAGTTTGTCCGCAAGGGGGCCGTCAATCGCAGGTTGCCTGCTGGGGTCTCCAGCACCGTGGCACGGTGGTGGGAGATCACGTGGTGGGAGATCACGTGGTGGGAGATCACGTGGCACGATGGTGGGAAATCACGTGGTGGGAAATCACGTGGTGGGAGATCACGTGGCACGTGGTGGGAAATCACGTGGCACGCGGTGGGAGATCACGTGGCATGTGGTGGGAGATCACGTGGCACGTGGTGGGAGATCACGTGGTGAGAAATCACGTGGCACGTGGTGGGAGATCACGTGGCACGTGGTGGGAGATCACGTGGCACGTGGTGGGAGATCACGTGGTGGGAGATCACGTGGTGGGAGATCACGTGGTGGGAGATCACGTGGTGGGAGATCACGTGGTTGGAGGAGGTTACTGCCGGCAGCCCCTTGCTACATGCACACACACTGATGTACACACGCACGCACGTGCACACACACACACACGTGGACACATCACTGATGTACACACACGCGTACACACACGCGTACACAAACGTGTACACACACACACGTACACAAACGTGTACACACACGTACACGTGTATACACACTGATGAACACTGATGTACACACACGTGTACACACACGTGTACACACACACGTACACGTGTATACACACTGATGAACACACTGATGTATACACACGTGTACACACTTGTGTACACTGACACAGACACGTGTACACTGACACACACACGTGTACACACTGATGTACACACACGCTGATGTACACACACGCTGATGTACACGTGTACACAGACACACGTGTACACACAACACGTGTACACACAACACGTGTACACACACTGATGTACACACTAATGTACACACACGTGTACACACAACACGTGTACACACGTGTACACAGACACGTGTACACACATGTACACACAACACACGTGTACACACACACTGATGTACACACACTGATGTACACACACTGATGTACAAACTGATGTACACACACGTGTACACAGACACGTGTACACACACGTGTGTACACACACACGTGCACACACACGTGTACACACACACACCGTGTACACACACACACACCGTGTACACACACACTTATGTACACACTGATGTACACACACACACGTGTACACACACACGTGTACACACACACGTGTACACACACACGTGTACACACACACGTGTACACACACACGTGTACACACAACACACGTGTACACACAACACACGTGTACACACACGTGTACACACAACACACGTGTACACACATTTATGTACACACACACGTGTACACACACACGTGTACACACACACGTGTACAGACAGACACGTGTACACAACACACGTGTACACACACACACGTGTACACACACGTGTACACACACACACGTGTACACACACACACGTGTACACACACGTGTACACACACATGTGTACACACACACACGTGTACACACACACGTGTACACAAACACACGTGTACACAAACACACGTGTACACAAACACACGTGTACACACAACACACGTGTACACACACACGTGTACACACAGACAGTAGTCGCCCCGTATCGCCTTACAAGACTGTATGTGTACCACAATGCCGGTAGCCTTCATAGGCGGTACTGCTAGCTAACAGCACTTGCCCCTACAGCCCTGCTAGAGGCTACCTGGGAGAGCTTTGTGTGTACATCATAGGTGGTGCTGCTACTACTAACAGCACTTGCCCCTGCAGCCCTGCTAGAGGCTACTTGGGGGAACTTTATGTGTACATCATAGGCGGTGCTACTCGCTACTAGCAGCAGCACTTGCCCCTGCAGCCCTGCTAGAGGCTACCTGGGGGAGCTTTGTGTGTACATCATAGGCGGTGCTGCTAGCTAACAGCACTTGCCCCTGCAGCCCTGCTAGAGGCTACCTGGGGGAGCTTTGTCTTTGTGTTCCATGCGACTGGGAGAGCCTGAGGTTGATGACGACTCCGCACGGATGGATTCAATAATCCTTGGCTGTGCCATCACCGGCACCATCATCTGTAGCACCATCACCATCATCTGTAGCACCACCATCACCATCATCTGTAGCATCACCATTATCTGTAGCACCACCATCATCATCTGTAGCACCACCACCATCTGTAGCACCACCATCACCGGCACCATCATCTGTAGCACCACCATCATCATCTGTAGCACCACCATCATCATCTGTAGCACCACCATCATCATCTGTAGCACCACCATCACCATCATCTGTATCACCATCATCTGTACCACCACCATCACCACCACCATCATCTGTAGCACCACCACCATCATCTGTAGCACCACCACCATCATCTGTAGCACCACCACCATCATCTGTAGCACCATCACCATCATCTGTAGCACCACCATCATCATCTGTAGCACCACCATCACCATCATCTGTAGCACCACCACCATCTGTAGCACCACCATCACCGGCACCATCATCTGTAGCACCACCATCATCATCTGTAGCACCACCATCACCATCATCTGTATCACCATCATCTGTAGCACCACCATCACCACCACCATCATCTGTAGCACCACCATCACCACCACCATCATCTGTAGCACCACCACCATCATCTGTAGCACCACCACCATCATCTGTAGCACCACATCACCACCACCATCATCTGTAGCACCACCATCTGTAGCACCACCATCATCTGTAGCACCACCATCACCATCATCTGTAGCATCATCATCATCTGTAGCACCACCACCATCATCTGTAGCACCACCATCACCGGCACCATCATCTGTAGCACCACCACCGC